TAAGGGTTAGAGGGAAGTGAAAAACAAATTAACCAACACAAGCCATTGTCCATCTTTTTGAGCCCTCCTCTCTGAATCCTAAGAACTTCTCTTTATGGCAACCGTAGTTGTGCCTCCTAGGATGCAACCAACAAGGTTGGGACGGGGTGATCGCAATGTTTTCACAATGTCTGATGATACTCCGGCAATGAAGCAAATCTTGGAGACCCATGCTCCTGATGGCCGAGACAGTGGCTTTGATGTCAAACCTCTTTTCCAAATTGTAGAGGACATCATTCATCATTCCACCTCTACTGTCCCTTGGATCACTCATGTACTAATATCTTCTTTTTGTTTTCTGATCTTCTTTTCTATATATATCCTAGTCTTTGGTGGAACATTCTGAATAGATATGTCCCTATGAGCGATTGCACTGATCTTTATATATTTTGACCACATCCGTTTCCGCTCCTTAATTATCTGACTAATCGTAACTTTTTTTGTGTAGGTAACTCGAGAACATTTGGGTGGATTGGAGGATAGGGCAACCCAGAATGGATTCAATGAAATGCTCCAACTTTTGGCACACCCAATAAGTACAGTTTCCTGTGAGGTATGGTTCCATGAGGTCTACAAAGTAACTTTTGGTACGGTACCAAAAGCTAACAAAAAATAAGAGTGAAAATAATCTTAAAATTTTTGAGCCGTAAGACCCGCAACTATCTTGTTGAATTGTAACTTGACCCCAAAAGAATCTTACTTAGTCTCTATTTACTTATAAATGTTGTTATGATAGGTGGTCCATTGTATTGCCCTACACTGTTTTACAAGTAAGGTATTAAATGGCTTTTGTGACTCTCTAGTCACAAGTGCACCAGCCTGTGAAGTGTCACCAAACTGAATTGTAGACTGAGCAGTGAGATTGGTTTAACTGCTACCTGCAAATAAACCTTAAACATTTCCAATATGTATCAAGGCTTGTCCTTGTTTTTGAGCTTACGACTCAAAAGCATGAATGACATGACCCATTGACCGTCTTAGTTATACTTAGTTTAACAACATTACTCAAAGTTGATAAATTGTGACAGATATCTTGCAAGTGCTCCGGCGGCAGCGACGGGCACTCAACCACCAAGTCAATTTGTGTTACACTTTCAGGCTACTCCTGGGACGCCAAGGTGGTGATAGCATTAGCAGCCTTTGCCGTGATCTATGGCGAGTTCTGGCTGGTTGCCCAGCTTTACCTCTCAAGCCCACTTGCTAAATCTGTTGCATACCTCAAACAACTGCCAGAGACGCTCGAGCGCGTGGACCTGTTGAAACCAAAGCTTGAGTCACTCATCAAACTCATCGGGGCCATGCTTGATGTGACCACCTGCATTCTCAGGTTCAAGGAGCTCCCACTTCAGTACATTACCTCTAACACACCGGCAATGGCGACCGCCAATGCTCATATTCCTGCAGCCGTTTATTGGACCATGCGTAGCATTGTGGCCTGTGCGTCACAGATCATGAACGTTATAAGCATGGGTCCCGAGTATGTATTCTTCATGGACGTCTTATCTTGTTGTAGATATTCATATTTTTTGGTAATTTTTAGTATAATTCTAAAAAACACTCTATATTAACGTATTCTTATCGATATCTATGAACTGTACATTTAAGTAACTTTGACCATAAATATACATGTTGCCACTAAAGAGAAGCCATTGTAGTCATTTCTCATTAGACCCAAATTATGTCTAGAGTGAGGGAATAGTGGGAACGTATGTTAAAATAGAAAAAAATATATAGAAGAAAAATGGAATTCTACGATACTAGTTTTTACCGAGAACTCATTATGATAGATCCGACAAAGTTTTATGCTAACTGTCGGTTACCTAACGCAACCCTTCTCCTTTATTCTGACTTGGGACAGACAGTATTAAATACAATATTGGCTGAGTGAGGAAATGTATTTATGGTGGATAATCCGTACATTGTTGTTATATTCACCAGTTAGACCACAACTTTCTGCTACAAAGACTTGTGTTATACTTAATTAAAGACAACGTTAATTTTGTCACTGATTAGGTACATATCCTTGAGCACCGAGGTCGGCTGGGAGCTATCTACCCTGGAACATAAGCTGAAGAACATACTTGAACTCCTTCAGAATCAGCTGGATCTTTGTAATAAGCACATTGGTGAGTCTTTCACATCTCAATTTTCATCAAACAGTTGGTATAGGATATCATCTTTCTTAACCCCATTCTTCGATTTAACGTTTTGATTTCAAAGAGAAATAAGAGGAAGGCTCCATTACATATACACACAGTCATACATAGTATATAGATTGAAATTGAGACGAATAAGTGTTGCTATGCTGCAGGCGAGACGAGAAGCGAGGAGACGTATCAAACTATTGTGCGAGTCATGAGCACAAGCCACATTGATAACCAAAAAGTTCTCAAGATTTTGATTTATGGCAATGACGATCAGCCACCACTCCATTATGGAACTGAAAAGAGACTGGTCTGCTCATAGCTTTTTTGCTCTTTCTTTTTCCCTTAGCTCCTGTTTACATCTAGTAAACCATGAGATAATGACATGTGACATGACAAATGCCATGGTTTTATTTTTGTATGACGACAGGTTGGTGTTGAAGAACTGAGGAAGAAGGTCGTATTGTTATTCATCTCGGATCTTGATCTAAACCTCGACGAAGAGCTTTGGCTTCTTCAGTCTATCTACGAAGAGAAGATAGCACAACCATCACACCCAGAGAGCCAGTATGAGATTGTATGGCTCCCAATTGTCGAATTTGATCGAACAAAACCATTGGATGAAGAAAAGGTTCATCAGTTCCATTCCTTGAAATCCACGATGAAATGGTACACGATAACTCACCCTTCGTTGATCGATCCAGCAGTGATTCGATACACCAAGGAGGTGTGGCGATTTACCAAGAAGCCTCTTCTTGTGGCTTTGGATCAACAAGGAAAAATGGTGAACCAAAATGCTATCCACATGATTTACATATGGGGAAGTTTGGCTTATCCCTTCACTAGCTCCAAGGAAGCAGCACTCTGGGAGGGAGTAGGCTCATGGAATTTCTCTGTATTGGCAGATAACATTGATCGAGCCTTGCTTGACTGGGTATTGCCTCTGTCCTTTCATATTTTAGCTCTCACTAATGTGTAAACATAGCTAAAATTCACAGTTCATGCATGGAAATTATATATTAAGTACAAGCTACTTAAAACCATTCACTCATATCTACACAATTTGTTTTTAAAAAACCGCGCCCAGTTACTTGGAGTTGATTCTGAATTACCCTGTACACTCATAATGTTTTAAATTCGACTCACTATTTTGGACCTAAAAAATAAGTGTTGTGCAAGTAATAATAGGCGTTTGGATTTTCACTATAAAGAGGGTCTATTATAACTCTGCATTCAAAAAATACCTAGTCGTCGAAAAAGAAAAAAAATGGCAAGTTGGAGAAGGAAAAGTGACCAAAATTGACTGGCAAAATTAGAATATAAGGCAACTGCCAAAGGCTAAACCAAATGCCTTTTAGTGCAACAGAAGTTTGAAAAATTCAGCAAGATTTTGGCTTCTTCTGTAAAGAGGAGTACCTGATACTCACCTTTTCTGCATAGCCATGTATTCCTTCATACTATGTGCATCTTTAAATAAATTAATCAGAGATCCAAGGAAAGCCACACCATCAAATCATATATACATACTAATTCCATTGTAACGTCCCAAACCCGTATTGTACAATATTATCCGCTTTAAGTTAGGCCCAGACCGCTTTAAAATGCGTTGTACAAGGTCCAAAGTTTACATTTACGTATCACTCACACCATCCTCCATTAAACTGCTAGAGTTTTTATATATATTTTTTTGTTATACAGATAACCCAAGACAAATTCATTTGTATGTATGGAGGAGAGGATATTATGTGGATCCGTAAATTTATAGAGGCAGCTAGAATTGTTGCCCAGGCTGCCAACATCCATCTGGAGCTAATCTACGTTGGGAAAAACAACCTTAAAGAAAAAGTTCGAAAAAACAATGTTATGATCGTGGATGAGAAATTGGGGGCTGTTATTGAGCTGGGCTTTGTCTCATTCTTCTGGGCAAGGCTAAACAGCATGTGGCACTCCAAATTGCAGTTAAAGGCCGGGGACTCAGAGAATGATCCGATAGTGCAGGAGATTAAGACCATCCTCAGCTACGACAGCGGCGAACAAGGATGGGCTGTGATCAGTAGAGGCACTGTTGAGATGACTAGAGCAAAAGGGGATATTTTTCTGCAGGCAATGCTGGAATATAATAACTGGATAACTGAAGTTGCGGAGCTTGGTTTTGTGCATACAATTGATAAGTATCTTCGTGACAAGCTCCATCCTAAGCACCACTGTACCCGCCTGATACTGCCTTCATTGACCGGAGACATCCCAGAGAGGGTGGTGTGTGCAGAATGTCGCCGTCCCATGGAGAAGTTCATCATGTATCGCTGCTGTGTTGATTGAGCTACTACTGAGTACTGAGCCACCTTCTGTGTACTTACTACTAGAGTTTGGGTGATGTGCCTAGTTTTTTTTATTGTAATAACTGCTTAAAGTTTGCTACTATATGTATGTGTGTAGTAGAGAGGCCTGTGTTGTATTGCAGTTTCTCTGTAGTTCTGGCTTGCTGTCATGCTTTAGTAGTGGTTTGTAAGGATGCAAGTATTGCTAGTAAATAAATTCTATCAGTTTGTGTTAAAAATGTGTTGTTTAAAGTGTTTGTTTAATTGAAGTTAGCAGCGCTGTAATAACTAACCAAATTTGTTGCAAGTGTAATGGTGGTGGGCTTCGGCCATGGGCTACATTTTGTATATTCATGAAGTGTGCCTGGCATTTTGGAAGATAAATTTGTGAAGAGTGAAGACGAGCAGGGGGAGCAGATGTAATGCAGGGAAGCTTGTAAAAACATGGGTATAAAGAGAACAAGAAAGGAATTGAGAACTACAATGCATCTGTATTGTAAGCGTCTTGCAGTGTCGAATATTTCAATTGGAGTGCATTGTACATTCCATTAAAACTCAAAACTCAAAACCTCAAAGAGATGAAAGGCATGTTTTGGGTGAATTGAACAAAAGAAACTGATTTACAGAACCATATGGCACTGTCATTTTGTAATACAGTAAGCCTACACAGTCAATTGATTCAAATGACAAACAACTGTATGACACATGTCCTCCAATATGACAATATTTGGAGACTGGATAGACTCTTTTTTTTCTGTTTGAATAGAAATAGGGAGTCCCCTTAAGGTGAGACAGATTGTGCATGACAGAAGAGAGTTACATTAATGGAGTTCACTCTCACTGTATCCCATTGTATCATTTTGTTGGAGTCTAACAAGAGAGTAGTATAAGCTCTTCTCTCTTCTGGCAAGCAGCTCTTGGTGAGACCCCTCTTCTGCTACCTTCCCATTATCAATCACTGCTATTGAATCTGCTTTATGAATTGTCACTAGTCGATGAGCAACAAGAACACATGTCCTGCCAACCATCATTTTTTCCATTACTTCCTGTACAAAGCTCTCCGATCTGCTATCTAATGCACTTGTTGCCTCATCCAATAGTAGTATCGAAGCATTCTTCAATATTGCTCGGGCAATTGCTATCCTTTGCTTCTGTCCACCGGAGAGCTGGACACCCTTTTCTCCACAATAGGTTTCATAGCCATCCTTCATGCTACTGTTCGCATCAAAGGCATTAACCAAAAAATTAGATTGCTGGAAAATACACATTATTACATTATAAGGAAATGAGATTATGGTGTTCCTGGAATGGACTATACTCTGTATAGTTCAACTGTAAAGTCATATTGGATGATTTTGGCCTTAGGTTTATGTATAGTGCTTGGTGATACTTGGAAAAGAAACTTCACCAGATGAATTCATGGGCATTAGCAAGTGATGCAGCTTCAATAATTTCTGCTTCAGTTGCATTCTTATTTCCATAGCTGATATTGTCACAGATTGTCCCTACAAAAAGAGTTGATTCCTGGCTGACTAGAGCAATGTGCGACCTCAGGGCTCTCAGGCTATTGGATTTGATGTCAATCCCATCAATTTTTACTTCTCCTTCAATTGGGTCATAGAATCTCTCAATCATACTGTTGTGATCGTGCAACAATTATGGTGAATAATAAGGAATCAAACAATTAAGAAAGTAAAAGAAAATAACACAGAGATTTATGTGGTTCGGCAATGTGCCTACATCCACAGGAGCNGTAATAGAAAAATAAATGAATCATCATCAAGGCTTTTCACATAGACACAACAATCATACTCACACCTTTTGTAGTCAATCTGGATCATGTAAGAGTCAAATCGCTTGTACCACTGCCTCGAAAACTGTTTCAGCCCATAAAGTGATTTCTTCAAATTACAGACCAAATGTTCCTCTCCAGGGAGACTGAACCCTTCTGGTTGTATCATGTAAATCTGTTCCTCCAAGTCGCCATGAAGGAAAGCTGTCTTTACATCCATCTGCTCCAACTGCATATCTGAATGTGCTACTAATGCCAACACTGTCCTGATGGAAGTGTGTCTGACCACGGGGGAGAAGATCTCATCATAGTCAACCCCTTTTCTCTGTAAGTAACCTTTTGCTACTAGACAAGCCTTGAATTTTTTCCCCTCCTTTTCTGATACTGCTTCTTTTTTCTTATACAC